TTAAAAATTGTGAAAAAAATGTGAGTTTTTTTACTTAAAAGGCCGTAACCAAGACATTAATCATAAATTTTGGATTTATTTTTTTGGGTTGAAAGACAACACTTGTATCTTTAAAACAAAATATCCAATTTGAAAATCGGTTGCAAACTACCATAAATATATTTTTTTAAAGTTAAAACTTCAAAAATAGATCTTTTTCACATCTTTTGCTCTTAAAAAGGAACTAAACGAAGTGATCGGGAAAAATTAAAAATATATTCCTACTCTATGGACTATAACGAAATGGAATTGGTATATGAGAACCCCTGCATTTTTTTGCTGTATCACTGTGTAATTGTTCGTCCGAAAATTGTCTTAGTCCTGGTCCATAAACCCTATAAAATATTCCCGTACATTGAGATCGGAGATGTTTTCAATTGCATGGTTTTAAATATAGAATGACTTCTAACATGATGTTTAATTTTATGATCGTGAGAGCTTTCATGTTCATTTCTCGTCAAGGTATAGAAAAGGTTTCTTTATCAAGTATTGTCGACATGTGCTTAAAGAGTCATGTTTCTAAATTTTTTTGCGATTGCATAGGAGTGAGCTGAGTATGTAAGCTAAGTTTTCGAGAAAATATGTGAAAGTTAGACTTCTTCGATGTTGTTGCGGAATGCGTTACCCACATAAAATATGACCTGAACTCTTTGCGAATGTACTGTGAATTTGGATCTTAATTTTGAATTTTAAAATACCTACGAATTATTTTACTGCGTGGTTTTGACTATTTACGCAAAACGCTATGAATTTTCTGATGTTGATTTAATAATATTGGACAACAAAATGAAGTTAAAATCTGTGTATCACGTCGGAATGGAATATTTATATTTAAAATTAACTAGATTAACACTTTTGCTTACAATTTAAAAAAATATTATGAAATGTGACCTAACCTGGGATACCAGTATCAGTATTTAATTCTAAGGCAAATCATTATCCGTCTGCTATAAAAACATTTATTTCGATACATATACATTTATAAAAATTACAAATCACGTAATACTTTACTTTATAAAAGTGAAACAATAAATTTGTAAGGCCTAGCTTCATCCTGATAAACGACCGAAACAATAAAATTCAAAGAGTCACCAACAAATCTGGGATTATTGAATAAAAATTGTGTATTTTAGTATTTATGACAAATTTGGAGATATTTTTAATATTTTCTAACATATAGATAATATTTTTTATTCATGATTTTTTTCGTTCGTCTTCGCGGACCCCCTAGGATTTTGCTACGGACCACTAGGGGTCCGCGGACCCCCTTTTGGGAACCGTTGGACTAGACTATAGACTAGACTATAGACTAGACTATAGACTAGACTATAGACTAGACTATAGACTAGACTATAGACTAGACTATAGACTAGACTATAGACTAGACTATAGACTAGACTATAGACTAGACTATAGACTAGACTATACACTAGGCTATAGACTAGACTAGACTAGACTAGAGACTACTAGACTAGACTATAGACTAGACTATAGACTAGACTATAGACTAGACTATAGACTAGACTATAGACTAGACTATAGACTAGACTATAGACTAGACTATAGACTAGACTATAGACTAGACTATAGACTAGACTATAGACTAGACTATAGACTAGACTATAGACTAGACTATAGACTAGACTATAGACTAGACTATAGACTAGCTAGACTAGACTAGAGACTAGACTATAGACTAGACTATAGACTAGACTATAGACTAGACTATAGACTAGACTATAGACTAGACTATAGACTAGACTATAGACTAGACTATAGACTAGACTATAGACTAGACTTATAGAATAGACTATAGACTAGACTATAGACTAGACTATAGACTAGACTATAGACTAGACTATAGACTAGACTATAGACTAGACCTATAGACTAGACTATAGACAACTATAGACTAGACTATAGACTAGACTATAGACTAGACTATAGACTAGACTATAGACTAGACTATAGACTAGACTATAGACTAGACTATAGAACTAGACTATAGACTAGACTATAGACTAGACTATAGACTAGACTATAGACTAGACTATAGACTAGACTATAGACTAGACTTAGACTAGACTATAGACTAGACTATAGACTAGACTATAGACTAGACTATAGACTAGACTATAGACCTAGACTATAGACTAGACTATAGACTAGACTATAACTAGACTATAGACTACTAGACTATAGACTCAGACTATAGACTAGACTATAGACTAGACTCTAGACTAGACTATACTAGACTAGACTATAGACTAGACTATAGACTAGACTATAGACTAGACTATAGACTAGACTATAGACTAGACTAGACTATAGACTAGACTATAGACTAGACTATAGACTAGACTATAGACTAGACTATAGACTAGACTATAGACTAGACTATAGACTAGACTATAGACTAGACTATAGACAGACTATAGACTAGACTATAGACTAGACTATAGACTAGACTATAGACTAGACTATAGACTAGACTATAGACTAGACTATAGACTAGACTATAGACTAGACTATAGACTAGACTATAGACTAGACTATAGACTAGAATATAGACTAGACTATAGACTAGACTATAGACTAGACTATAGACTGACTATAGACTAGACTATAGACTAGACTATAGACTAGATATAGACTAGACTATAGACTAGACTATAGACTAGACTATAGACTAGACTATAGACTAGACTATAGACTAGACTATAGACTAGACTATAGACTAGACTATAGACTAGACTATAGACTAGACTATAGACTAGACTATAGACTAGACTATAGACTAGACTATAGACTAGACTATAGACTAGACTAGAGCTAGACTATAGACTAACTATAGAATATTTTTTACTATCGGACTAGACTATAGACTAGACTATCGACTAGACTATAGACTAGACTATAGACGAAGACTATTATACTAGACTATAGAACTAGACTATACACTAGGCTAAGGACTAGACTATAGACTTAGGACTATAGACTAGACTATAGACTAGACTATAGACTAGGATATAGACGGACTATAGTACTAGACTATAGACTAGACTATAGACTAGACTATAGACTAGGACTATAGACTAGACTATAGACTAGATCTAGACTAGACTATCGACTAGACTAAGACAGACTATAGACTAGACTAAGACTAGACTATAGACTAGAATATATAGACTAGAGAAGACTAGACTATAGACTATAGACTATAGACTAGACTAAGACTAGACTATAGACTAGACTATAGACTAGACTATAGACTAGACTATAGACTAGGGGATCTATAGACTAGACTATAGACTAGACTATAGACTAGACTATAGGACTAGGACTATAGACTAGACTATAGACTAGACTATAGACTAGACTAGACTAGACTATAGACTAGGACTAGACTAGACTATAGACTAGACTATAGACTAGACTATAGACTAGACTATAGACTAGACTATAGACTAGACTATAGACTAGACTATAGACTAGACTATAGACTAGACTATAGACTAGACTATAGACTAGACTATAGACTAGACTATAGACTAGACTATAGACTAAACTATAGACTAGACTATAGACTAGACTATAGACTAGACTATAGACTAGACTATAGACTAGACTATAGACTAGACTATAGACTAGACTATAGACTAGACTATAGAATAGACTATAGACTAGACTATAGACTAGACTATAGACTAGTCTATAGACTAGACTAGAGACTAGACTAGAGACTAGACTAGAGACTAGACTATAGACTAGACTATAGACTAGACTATAGACTACACTATAGACTACACTATAGACTATGACTAGACTATAGATTAGACTATAGACTAGACTATAGACTAGACTATAGACTAGACTATAGACTAGACTATAGACTAGACTATAGACTAGACTTTAGACTAGACTTTACACTAGACTATAGACTAGACTATAGACTATAGACTATACTATAGACTAGACTATAGACTAGACTTTACACTAGACTTTACACTAGACTATAGACTAGACTATAGACTAGACTATAGACTAGACTATAGACTAGACTATAGACTAGACTATAGACTAGACTATAGACTAGACTATAGACTAGACTATAGACTAGACTATAGACTAGACTATAGACTAGACTATAGACTAGACTATAGACTAGACTATAGACTAGACTATAGACTAGACTATAGACTAGACTATAGACTAGACTATAGACTAGACTATAGACTAGACTATAGACTAGACTATAGACTAGACTACTGACTGGACTATAGACTAGACTAGACTATAAACTAGACTAGACTTTAAACTAGACTATAAACTAGACTATAGCCTAGAGTATTGACTAAATCACAGACTATATTCTAGACTGTAGACTAAACTATAGACTAGACTGTAGACGATACCATAGACTACACTATAGACGGGACTATAGACTAGATTAAAGCATGAACTATGGATTAGAGTACAATGTGGACTATATACTAGGCATAGCTCAAGACATGACCGTACTGGACTATAGATTAAGCTATAGTTTGAGCCATAGACTTGAAAGCAGTCTACACTTTTAGACTGTGTAAAGTCTAAAATATAGGCTAAACTATAGTCTAAGCTTTAACTAGTCAGTGTTACAGACTAGACTAGCATATACTATGGATGAAAGTATAATCTAGACTATAAATAAGGCCATAGACTTGAGTATAAAGTTTAACATGGACTATAGACTAGATTATGGTCAAGACAATAGTCTGGATTATAGTCTGCATTATAAGCTAAATTAACGTCTAGACTATAGACCAGTCTATAGACAATAGTCTGGTCTATAGACTGTACTATAGTTTATACTATTGACTGGAGTATAACATACTATGGACTAAATTATTCACTGTGCCACAGACTTTAGTCTGAAAATTTAATGTTATTTATTAATTTGTTTAATGTTTTTTTTTCAGATGGAATGTTTTTCGTGCAAGACTGTTTAGGGAATCATGCGTTTATTACAGGGGTAATTATATTAAGGATTTAAATCGTCTGGGACGCGATTTACAAAAAATTGTTATTGTTGATAATTCACCAGCTAGTTATATATTTCATCCAGACAATGCGGTAAGTTTTATTAACGAATATTTTAGGCAAAAATTAAACGAAATGATGTGATGGCTTTTTTATAGGTTCCTGTGAAATCATGGTTTGATGATGCCAGTGATTGTGAGCTATTGGAACTGATACCTTTGTTTGAGAAATTAAGCAAAGTCGATTCTGTATATAGTGTTTTGTGCAATTCAAATAATCCCTTAAACAATCACAATCAACAACAGCAGCAGCAACAACAACAAACACAGAACCAACAGCAACTGCAGCCAACACCACAACATCAACAACAACAACAGACTATAACAGCAACAACTATTATAACACAAGCTTCAACATTATCCACGCCAACAATATTAACGTCACAGCAACAGCAACAACAACAACCAGGAAGTCCGCCCAATACAAATGATTTAAACAATAAAACGTAACATCAGTGGGAATTAATGTTTATAAATATTTAATTTTCAAAAATTAAAAGAAAAAAACCCACTTTATTTTTTTGTTTAAAAAAAATTTAAAAAAACTAAAAAAAAAAATGCAAAAAAAAATAATAAAGAATTGAAAATAATGCATATTATTATAATAATATATATTTTTTAAAAAAAAGTAATTTATTTTTTAAGATTTTATTTGTTGAATGAAGTGAAAAAATCATTATTAACACTTAATGTTTAATTTAATTTTTTTTTTTGTTTTCTTAAATTGTTTTATTTTTATAAAAATTCTTATTTAATTTGACACTTTTTTTGATGTAAAGAAATATATAAAAGAAATTTTTTAAAGAATTAACGGTAAATTTGAAATTTATATAAATATTTAAACAAAATATCGTTTGACTTATTTAAAACCTATAATGAAATGAAATTTTGGAAAATAAATTGAATTACAAAACGAAATTTTTTTTAAAGTTGAAATTGTAAAATTTTTTATGACACTCAATAGCTATTTTGATATTAAACGAAAATTGTAAATAAAACGATTTCGAATTTGAAAAAAAAAATGTTTAATAAACGAAAGTCCAAACAACTTGTTATTCGAATATAATTGAAAGAATGTTGAAATTATGTAAAAATTAAAGTTTTCGTTTATAAATTTTAATTTAAGATCGTTTTGTTTTTAAAGCAATCTTTCTGTCATTCGTTAATATAAGTATTTATAACAAATACGTATATTTTATTTTAGAAATTTAAAAAAATTTTGAACTAATAACTAATAATTAAATAAAGTACCTAACATTATTTGGCAAAATTTTCATTCGAAATTATTTTTTTATTATTATTATTATTTTCTTATTATTCTCCTGATCTGCAATTTCTTTAAACAGTTTTAAAAACAGTTCGAACTTAAGTTCGAAACTTCGAACAAACTGAATAAATTCTAAAACTAATTTAAACTTCAGTAAAATTTTGAAGTTTTTTAAAACAAAAGAACCACAAATTTATCGAAAATCATGAATTCTCAAAATTTACACTTTATTTAAACAGTTTTAAAAAAATTCTCGAAAAAAATTCCAAAACTAGATTATAGACTAGACTATAATAGTATATTGTAGACTATGATTGTAGACTATAGACTACACTATAGATTAGACTATAGTCTACATATATATATACATACTATAGAATAGACTATACTATAGTCTACACTATAACTAGACTATACTATAGTCTACACTATAGCCTAGTCTAAACTATTGACCAGACTATATTCTAGACAATAGACTAGACTATAGAATAGACTATATGCTAGACTATAAACTGGACTGTAATCTACACTATAGACTAGACTATAATCTACACAATACACTAGATTATAGCCTACACTATAGATTAGACTGTAGTCTACACTATAGATTAGACTGTAGTCTATCTACACTATAGACTATATTAAAGTCTACACTATAGACTAGACTAGACTATAATTTACACAATAGACTAGACTACACTATAGACTAGTCTATAGTCTACCCTATAGACTAGACTATAGTCTACACTATAGACTAGACTTTAGTCTACATTATAGACTAGAATATAGACTAGACGTTAGACCAGACTTTAAACTAGACTAGACTAGATTATAGATTGGACTATATACCAGACTATAGACTAGACTATAGACTAGACTATAGACCAGACTATAGACTAGACTATAGACTAGACTATAGACTAGACTATAGACCAGACTATAGACTAGACTATAGACTAGACTATAGACTAGACTATAGACTAGACTAGACTAGACTAGACTATAGACTAGACTATAGACTAGACTATAGACTAGACTATAGACTAGACTATAGACTAGACTATAGACTAGACTATAGACTAGACTATAGACTAGACTATAGACTAGACTATAGACTAGACTATAGACTAGACTATAGACTAGACTATAGACTAGACTAGACTAGACTATAGACTAGACTATAGACTAGACTACAGACTAGACTATAGACTAGACTATAGACTAGACTATAGACTAGACTATAGACTTAACTATAGACTTAACTATAGACTTAACTATAGACTAGACTATAGTCTACACTATAGACTAGACTATAGACTAGACTATAGACTTAACTATAGACTTAACTATAGACTATAGACTAGACTATAGACTAGACTATAGACTAGACTATAGACTAGACTATAGACTAGACTATAGACTAGACTATAGACTAGACTATAGACTAGACTATAGACTAGACTATAGACTAGACTATAGACTAGACTATAGACTAGACTATAGACTAGACTAGACTATAGACTAAACTATAGACTAGACTATAGACTAGACTATAGACTAAACTATAGACTAGACTATAGACTAGACTATAGACTAGACTATAGACTAGACTATAGACTAGACTATTAACTAGACTATAGACTAGACTATAGGCTAGACTATAGACTAGACTATAGACTAGACTATAGACTAGACTATAGGCTAGACTATAGACTAGACTATAGACTAGACTATAGACTAGTCTATAGACTAGACTATAGACTAGACTATAGACTAGACTATAGACTAGACTATAGACTAGACTATAGACTAGACTATAGACTAGACTATAGACTAGACTATAGACAAGACTATAGACTAGACTATAGACTAGACTATAGACTAAACTATAGACTAGACTATAGGCTAGACTATAGACTAGACTATATACTAGTCCATAGACTTGACTATAGACTAGACTATAGTCTACACTATAGACTAGACTATAGACTAGACTATTAACTAGACTATAGACTAGACTATAGGCTAGACTATAGACTAGACTATAGACTAGACTATAGGCTAGACTATAGACTAGACTATAGACTAGACTATAGACTAGACTATAGACTAGTCTATAGACTAGACTATAGACTAGACTATAGACTAGACTATAGACTAGACTATAGACTAGACTATAGACTAGACTATAGACTAGACTATAGACTAGACTATAGACTAGACTATAGACTAGACTATTAACTATACTATAGACTAGACTATAGACTAGACTAAAGACTATACTACAGACTAGACTATAGACTAGACTATAGACTAGACTATAGACTAGACTATAGGCTAGACTATAGACTAGACTATATACTAGTCCATAGACTTGACTATAGACTAGACTATAGTCTACACTATAGACTAGACTATGGACTAGACTAAAGACTAGGCTATATACTAGACTAAATACTAGACTATATACTAGACTATTCATTTTCATTCAAATTTACCGTTTCTTCTTTATTAAATATTTTATTTGTTTAATATTTAACCAATGTTTATTTAAACATTTTTAATTAAATTTGTTTTATTAAAAACTGCTTTAAAATACTAAAAAAAACTCTAAAATAACATAATAAAAAGAAATTAAAAATTTTTTTCTACATGTATTTAAATATTTAATAACAAAACTTTATATACAGATAAAGCAAGAATGAAAAAGAAAACACTATGTATTTGTATAGGTACATTAAATATACATACTAATTTATATATATAAAAATGGTTATTAAACCAAAAACCCTTTAATTTTATAACAAACAAATAAAAAAAAAACATTATAAGCAAAAATCTATATATTTGCAATAAAAAAAATAATAAAATTATTAATACAAAACAAAATAAAAAAATCAAATATTTATATATTTTTTAATAAATATCTAAAAGAAAAAATATATATAAAATAATAAACAAAATGAAATATATATATAAAAAACCACATATTTTTTAATACAATCTTAAATATAAATAAAAAAATATATTAAAAAAACTACTAAATACTACTTCCCTGCCCTCATTCACATATTAACTAATAATTTAACAACAAACAAAAATATAAACAAAGGAAATAATATTTAATAAAAAAAAACAACAACAATACAAATACCAGAAATCCTTAATTATAATTTAAACCCGCCTAAAGGTATAAGAGAGTTTTTTTAATTAATTAAATATTTAAAAAAAAAGGTTTTATTTAAAAAAGAGTCTTTATTTCTTATAAAACGTATTTTACAATTATTTTTATTAATTTTTTTGTTTTAACACATTTTAGTTTATTTTTTAATTGCGTGTGTTTTAATTTTAAAAAATATTATACATTTTATATTGTTTATTAATTTTTAAATTAACAAAAGTTCATTTTTTTCTTTAATTTTAACTTATATATTTTTTTTTTAATTTATCTAAATATATTTTTTAATTTAGTTAAAAGTTGAGAAAAAATTTATAATAAAAACAATAATAATATTAAGTTTTAAGCTTAAACACCAGAAAAGAAAAAGCAAAAGAAATTCAGAAAATCAAAATGATAATAAAGTTTTAATTTACCACCAATGTTTTCTTTTATTTTTTTAATTTTATTTTATTGTTTTAATTTTCATCCAAATTTAAAGAATTGCACAAATATATGTACACTGTTTAACAAACTCAGTTCTACTTTAGTCCTAGTTCAGTTCTGGTTCAGTTCTACTTCTGAACTGGATCAGTTCGAGTTGGGTTCTAGTTCAGTTCTAGTTCTGTTCAAGTTCTGTTCTAGTTCAGTTCTAGTTCTGTTCTAGTTCTGTTCTAGTTCTGTTCTAGTTATGTTCTAGTTCTGTTCTAGTTCTGTTCTAGTTCAGTTCTACTTCAGTTCTAGTTTTGTTCTAGTTCTGTTCCAGTTCTGTTCTAGTTCTGTTCTAGTTCTGTTCTAGTTCTGTTCTAGTTCAGTTCTAGTTCTGTTCTAGTTCTGTTCTGTTCTAGTTCTGTTCTAGTTCTGTTTTAGTTATGTTCTAGTTTACTTCTAGTTCTGTTCTAGTTTAGTTCTAGTTCAGTTCTAGTTTAGTTCTGTTCTAGTTTAGTTCTAGGTCTGTCCTAGTTCTATTCTAGTTCTGTTGTAGTTCTTGTCTAGTTCTGTTCCGTTCTAGTTCTATTCTAGTTCTGTTCTAGTTCTGTTCTAGTTCTGTTCTAGTTCTAGTTCTGTTCTAGTTCTGTTCTAGTTCTGTTCTAGTTCTGTTCTGGTTCTG